AAGTTTTTCCGCAAAATCATCTGATTTTGTGGAAAAACTTGCTAGCTGTCTACACTGGCCGCTTGAATTTCCGGAAAAGCACTGACAATCTACTGTAAAATCATCAGTGCTTTTCCGGAAATACTATGCTGCTCCCGTTCGGGCAAAAGTCTTTTTCTGAAAGACTTTTGCGCGAAAGGGCCAGTGTAGACAGCACAGTATTGTTTTCCGCCAAAAAGCCCCAATCGCGAAAATGGCGATCGGGGCTTTTTTGCGGAAAACCGCGTCTAGACTGGCCATGGACGCTTTTCCACAAAAAGTGCTTTTGCGGAAAAGCGTTCTGCCAATCTAGACGTGCTTTTCCAAAAATGCTTTTAACGGAAAACTTTTCCGTTAAAAGCATTTTTGGAAATTCATGCCAGTCTAGATGTAGCCCATGAGTTTTCAAAGGTAACAGCCAATGGCTCTGCAATCTCATCAGCCAACTCCCTCAGGAGCCTCGGATTCATTAGATCCAGTCCCATGGATTTGTGTGAGTCCTAAATAGTTCTTAACTTGTTCTTTCTCACTGGGGGCTGCTCACCACCTTCCCATACTGCGTTGCCTACTGCAGTAGTCTGGGAGCTGGTTTTGTGAAGGCAGAAGCAACAAAAGCATTGAGTGCTTGAGCTTTTCCCACATCAACTGTCACTGAGTTACTTCCCTCATCCAGTAAGGGCCCCACATCCTCCGTGGTCACCCTCTTATTGCTAACATGCCTGTAGAAACCTTTCTTGTTACCTTTTACATCCCTTGTTAGCTGCACTTCCAGTTGTGTGTTGGCCTTCCTGATTACACCCCTGCATGCTGGAGCAGTATGTTTATACTCCTCCCTAGTCATCTGCCCAAGTTTCCACTTCTTGTGAGCTTCCTTTTTGTGTACAAGCTCTCCGAGGATTTCACTGTTAATCCAAGCTGATTGCCTACTGTATTTGCTTTACATACTGCGCATCGGGATGGTTTCTTCCTGTGCTGTCAATAAGGCTTCTTTAAAATCCAGCCAGCTCTCCTGGACTCCTTTCCTCTTCATCTTAGGCAGCCAGGTTGGGAATCCTGCCCGTCAGTTCTCTGAGGGAGACAGTCTGCCTTTCTGAAGTCCAGGGCGTGTATTTTTCTGCTCTCCCTTCTTCCTCTGGTCAGGATCCTGAATTGACCATCTCATGATCACTGCTGCTCAGGTTGCCACCCACCTCTACTTCCCCTGCTAGTTCCTCCCTGATTGTGAGCAGCAGGTCAAGCTGCGCACGGCCCCTGGTTGGTTCCTTCAGCACTTGTACAAGGAAGTTATCCCCAACATTCTCCAAAAACATCCTGGATTGTCTGTGCTCTGTTGTATCGGTCTCCCAAGAGATGTCCAGGTGATTCAAGTCCCCCATGAGAACCAGGGCCTGTGATCTGGAAGCTTTTCTCAGTTGTCTGAAGAAATCCTCGTCTGCCTCATCCACCTGATCCGGTCTATAGCAGACACCAAGCATAACATCACCCCTGTTGCTTCTACCTCTAAACTGAACCCAAAGACTCTCAACAGGCTTTTCTCCTTCTATATGCTGAAGTTCTGAGCAATCCTACCGCTCTCTGACATACAGTGCAACCCCTCGTCCTTTTCTCCCCCGCCTGTCGTTCCTGAACAGTTTATGCCCTTCCATGACAGCTCCAGTCATGTGAGTCATCCCACCAAGTCTCCTTTATTCCAATCAAATCATAGTTCTTTGACTGTGCAACGGCTTCTAATTCTGCCTGTTTGTTCCCCAGGCTTCTTGCGTTCATGGACAAACCCCTTAGATAACTAGCTGATTGCCCAACCTTCTCCATATGAATCAAGGGCCCTCCTCTGTTGCATGTTCCTCCTTGTGTTCCTTCCCAGTATCCCACTTCCCCACTCAGGGCTTTGGTCACCATCCCCCAATTAACCAAGTTTAAAGCCTCCTCACTAGGTTTGCAAGCCTGCCCGTGAAGATGCTCCTTCCTCTCTTCATTAGGTGGATCCCATCTCTTCCTAACAATCCCTCTGCCTGGAACAGTATCCCACAGGAGTTGACTCCAAAGCCCTCTCTCCAACACCCTCTGTGCAACCACGCATTCACTTCCACGATCCCTCCCTGGACCTTTTCCTTCAACAGGGAGGATGGATGAGAACACCACTTGTGCCTCAAAATGCTTGATCCTTCTTCCCAGTGCTACATAATCTGCAGTGACCCGCTGTCATGTGGTTCGATATTTGGGTACGAGAGGAGCCAGTGAAAATACCTCCGATAAACTCTTGTTAACTTTATTGTGCGCAGACTGGTAAAGGAAAGTGATGCAATGTTATACCCACCTATTGCAATAGACGGGATAGTTAGCACAGACAATAATATAAACACAAGATATTTATTTCTATAAATCACACACCGTTCCGTCTGACAATCATAAGTGGGAGTTTGTGGCCTCTGTTTCCCCACGTGCAGAGGCGTTCACAGTGCATCGCTCGGTAGGAACAGGAACAGCTTTTAGTTGCAACGAGTAGGGTAGTGGGGACACCTTACCCAGTCCCTCCCACTGATTCTCTTTTCTACACCTCTATTTGTACTCGACTTGGTCATTTCTAGTAAAATCTACCAACTGATTCCGTATTGTATCTGCCCATATTTGGGTACATCCTGCAATTCAAACTGTGCTGTGCTTGACTGATAGTTCCATGACAGCATCTGTGATTTTTTACTTATTAGAAATATTATGTCTGAGCACCAGGCTTGTCCCAATGTTCTTGGCATGGTTTCACTCTAGCAATACTCCCTACGCACTAGTGTTTTAAGGCACTCCTGACACTCAAAGCCCCGCACCTCGACCTGGCCTACGTGCTTATGTGCCCCAGATTTGAGTCAGGCCTGGGTTTGCTGTGTTAGAAAACTGCACTTTGGGCAAGGCAGCTATCGTTAGTCTGGTCAAGGCAGGGCCGGACAACGCAGACATTGTTGTTATTCTGGTCCAGATGGGGTTGTCCAGGCTCCCCTACACCCACCCCAGGTCATTCTTGGCCGTACTGTGAGTTCCCACATGGAGAAGTAGGAAGGGGGAGTGGTCCAAAGGTCGATCAGTCTTGGAAGACTCTTGGCCACATCCTGAATTCTAGCTCTAGCAAGCAGCACACTTCTTGAGATTCGTGCTCTGGATGGAAGATGGATGACTCCGTCCCTCTTAGGAGGGAGTTCCCAAGCACCACCATCTGTCTCCTTCCCTTGGGAGTGGTGGTCATGGAGGCCCCATCCCTTCATCTTCCTTTTTGGAACTCAGGGTTCATGCTTGGGCCACTCGTCCTTCAATCTTCTCTTCCAATATGGAGCCCAGCTTGCACTTTGTACAGATGAAATCACTTCTGTCTTCGGGGAGGAAGGCCAGCGTGGCACATGCTGTGCAGGTCACACCAGCTGATCTTTCACTCTCCATCCTGTCTCCTTCTGAGAGACTCCTCAGAGGTTGTTTTTATTGCCCCGAAGCCTGAAGGGGAGAAATGAGAGAGAAAAAAGAAGAGACAGAAAAGAAAGAAAAACACCAACCACTGTGGGGCTCCCGCCATGGCGAACTCCCAGGCAAACTCCCATGCAGACCCCCTGTTCGCTGCTCACTAAGTTCACTCTGGCTGCCCTTTTAATAAAACTTCTGGCTCCACCCAGATGCCCCTACTTGGAGCCTTGCCTGTGATCCAGTTGGTCTTTCAAGGTCACCTGGAACAAAACACTCCCAATTCACACTTTTCAATCAGAGAAGCACATGGTCAAACAGACCTCACAAAGGATAATTAGATTCTTCCCAGGGTTTTATTTCAATCAGGTAGTTTTGATTTTAGTTTAGTTTAAAAGAAGTTTTAAAGAAAGCCAAGTGCACCGAGCCCCCTTGAAACTGCCCCACCAAACTCCCAGTTCACTAGCTCCCTGGTTGCTTATTAGCAGGCTTTATATAACCCTTCTTCACAGCCCCGCTGCCTGGTTAAGGCTTGATGAATGAACAAAGGGCTGGGTTAATGAGCAGCAATCCCATTCCAGGCACAGCCCATTGTCCTGGCACAACCAAACCCTGACACTGCTTTAAGGTTTGATAAGAGAAAGCTGCATCCCAAGTGTGGTGGTTCTACCTCTTCCCGTTTAGGAGTTCTTGATCAACTGGTCAAGCAGACAAACAAACTTTAAAATGCAGGGTAGGTTAGATACAAGGCTCCTGTCAGCTAATTGCTAAATTATCTGCTGGAAAATTGAAGTGTTGGTACCTAAGTAGCCCCTCGAAAATAGGGTTCCCATACTTGAACTTTCGAAAGATGAAACCCCTGACAGCGTATCAGTATCCATATCTACCAACTCCCATGGCAACATGAATACAATATGAGTTGGTAGATACGGATACAGATACGCTCCCTGTCAGGGGTGTCATCTTTTGAAAGTTCAAATATGGGAACCACTGGAATCATGGTTCAAGTTGTCCCCTAACAAGATTGGAAATGGTGCACTGCCACTAGCACCACTCCCCTTCCCAGGGCGCAGAGCGGAGCCCCAGGATGAGTCATTGTCCCCTGAGGGAAGGAAGGGAAATGACCCTTGCAGGCCCCACAAGAGTCTGTCTGGTGTCCCGGGCGTTTCCTGTTGGGTGCTCTGGGCTGTCTCCACACTGGCGGTGAGTCACACAGCCCCAGCTCTCACCTGGCACAGGGGGTTCGGGTGTTCCCAGTGGGTCAATGCCGGCAGCGTCCCCAGCACTCAAGGGAGGATCGACACCAGCACCTGCCGAGGGCCCTGCGACATGTTGGCCCAGCACTAAGGCCCCAGGAGACCAGCTCCTGCCAGGGAGTATTTCCAGGTTCAGCTGAGACCCCCTGGGCATGAGCCGGCACCTGCCCTGTGTTTCCCCCCTCCCAGTGCTCCCCCGGCCCAGCCGGATTAGGAACCTGCTGGCTGACCCTGCGGGGTCTGGGGCCCGGCTGCTGCTAACGGGCTGCGCTTCTCTCCCTGTAGACTGAGAGCGACGGCTGCCTTTCCTGGGAGGTGGGGACGCCTCCCTTCCACCTGACCCGCTCTGGCTACCAGATGAACCTGGAGGCCATGGCCTCTCTCGAGGAGAAGGGGACAGGTGGGCCTGAACCCAAGCAGACCTGCGCGCAGGCACCCGGAGCAGTGAGCCCAGAGGCAGAGGGGTGTCCCTGCAGTGACAGGGCCAGTGCTAGGCCAGCCCTTTAGAGATGGGTCTGGGGCAGCGTTTGTGGTGGGGGCTGGGTTCCGGTTCGGCCCCTCACAGGGCTGGAGCCCTCATGTGAGCTCAGATCTGGGCCCAGCCCTGAACTCCCCACAGCTTGGGGGGCTCAGAGCCGGGTTCTGGGGGCCCATCTTTAACACTGGCTGACACGATGAGCTTCTCCCCAGCCCTGCCCCCAGCCGGGGTCTGGACAGTTTCCCTGCCAAGGCACAGCAGGGCACAGCCCCTTCCCCGGACGTGTCCTGCCCCAGCTATTGCCAGTGACGGGCCCCTGAGCTGGGCCCGTGCTTGGGTCTGGCAGCACAGGAGGTGGGATGAAGGGCTCCTGTGCCCTGTAACCAGACACACACAGGGAGGGGACTCTCTCCGGGGGAGAGGGGGGAGCATCTCCTGGGAC